CCTATATATTTTTTTGCCAGAATCTCAAAAAAGGTAAGTTACTCTTTGTTATCACTTGTGACTTCTGGTTATATCAAATATATATTCAAGATATAATCTTTTTTTAAGCAAACATCAGATTGGAATAGTTTCAAGCTAGAGTATTCTTGTATGACAGAGTCTGCTGTTACCAGTTTGAGTTAGAGTTTATAGATTTATTACTAGAGTTAGATCAGAAGCCTTTTCTTATATAAACTTTTTTACTTTAACCTGTTTTCAGCCTGTGATTGTCAAAAAGACCAAAGGTTCTATTTTCATGCAGCCTAACTAATTTTGAAAGTAGATTTTTTTGACTAATTGAATATAATATAAATTAGAAGCTGATTAATCAATTATAAAAGTGATAAATTTTTGTAATTAGATGAATTTGAATTTTAGACTTTTCTCTAGTAATCTATAGAGTATTATTATTATACTATAGATTTATAGGTCATATATTTTAATATATATTATAATTTTAATGTTTACTAAATTAATATATAAATTGATTTTTTATAAAAAACAATATTTTAATATATTATAATATCAGATATATATTTATTTTATTTAATTGTTTTTATTTATAATTAAATTAATATTTTATAATTTGAATTTAAAAATATTAATTGCTATATTATAAATTTATAGATTTTATAAATAAATATATATTAAATTAAATATAAATATATTATTTAATTAAAAATTAATATAGTAAAATTATAAATTTTTATAAAAATAAATAAGATTTTTTAAAAGTTTTAAAAAAGGTTTAAAATTTATAAAACAATTGTTTCTTATATAATTAAAAATTTTTTTAATAAAAATATTTTTATTATTTTTAAAGATAAAATTATTTAAAAAAAAATTATTAAAAACAGATAAAAAATAAATTTATTAAAGAAATTAATATTGAAATTTTTATTAAAACAAAAAAAATTTATATAAAATAAAAAAATTTTTTTATATACTAGCTTAAAAAAATTTTTTTTAATAATTAAAAAAAATTAATTAAAATAATAATATATTGAAAAAAAAAAAACTAAATTAATAAAAAATAAAAGATTATTATATAAAATAATAAAAATAATAATTTTGATTATGTTTAAAAATTTTTAATATATTGAAAATATGGTTTTAATAATATAAATTAAAGATAAAAAAATAATAATATAAAAATATTTTTTAGATAAAGAATTAGGTCTATTAATAAAAATCAGTAATAAATTAAATAAATTAGATTATATTAAAATATTTGTTTCAATATAATAATATTTTATTTATATTATTAAAAATATTTAACAATAAATTTAAAAAATAAAATTATAATTTTATTTAATTAATCAAGTTAATCTCTTAATTTAAATTCAATTAAACATTTGTGATTTAAATTGAAAAAAAGTAAAAAATAAATCAAAAATTTAAAAAATTTTAAAAATTAAAAATTGTATTATAAGAAAAATGAAGTAAAATTTCAAGAAATAATTAATATATTATTTAGAAAATACATTATAAAAAATAAAATCAAATATTAAAAATAATAAATAATTAACAAAATATTAATTCTATATAAATATTTTATTGTATAAAATTATAATATAAAATTTTATGTAATTAATAAATAAATAATGTGTAATATTTTTGTCCAGATAATATATAATATTACTATTATATTAAATATTATTTATAATGTTAAATTATAATTTAATGTAATTAATACCCTTTAAATAAATTATACTTTTAGGAAAAATATATAAGAAACAAAAATTCTATTATTAGTTTCAAATTACTTTAATCTATTGGTTCAATTTTAAAAAAACAAAAAATATTAAAGTAACCAATTTGAAATACTTTTAAATTTTTTTATTAAATTTGATTAGAACTAGTTATAAATTTGAAAAGAAAAGAATTAGAGACCCATAGGTCTACAAAAACAATTTTATTAACAAAATAAAATAATTTAAGATATAATGATAATTATAATATTCTTTGCAAATTATGATTGACAAATCGTGTAAATATTTCTTTTTATTTTTTATCTATTATATGACATAATTAGATAAAGGAATTTTTTTTATAATATAATTTTGCTTTGGACTCATAATGGTTTCCGTTTTCCGTTTTTTTAAACCATAGTAATAATATAACAAAAATGAAAAATAATTGACATTAATACTTTTTTAATGAATTCATGTACTTCATTAATAACTGGCTATGTGGTAATATTTTTACAGATCCTATTCTTACGTAATATACAGTACATTATTTTAAAGTAATTTTTAAACGGTTACCCACCATTTTATACGAGTAAATTCGAGTTTGAAGCAGATCATGCATCATTACATGGTAGTAACAGAAAACATAAATGTACGTTTGCAAAAAGAAATGTTTTACGGAATGTTCCGAATAATATCAACGTACCCCTGCTATGCAGGATACTAATAAAAAGATAAAAGTCACATCTTGCTTATCGTAAACATTTAGATAAAATTCACATCTTGCTTATCGTGAGGAAGGATACAAATATTTATGTTGTAATCCTGTCTTCATATCATATATTTAATTATCTCTTTCATTCTGGTGATTGAGGTTGAATTGGGGCGATCTTAATAAATGATTTGAAAATTCACCCGAGTCTTTTTCGAGATACGAAAGATCTTGTAGATCCTATAAAAAAAAAAAAATTTTTTTTATTTTATAACTCAGAAAATCTCTCCGCACTCTTTCCGAAAAAAGAAATGAAATTCTGTTTTCTACTTTCCTATCATTTCCAGTAGTACACAAGACACTTGATGATATGTAGATAAGCAAAATTAAATTCGCGTAGTCATACAAAGGATTTGAACGTACATAGTTGACGCTTTAATAAAACCAAGTCAATATAAATGAGGCTTTTTCCAATCTGTCTCGAGTTTTATTTAATTCAATAAAACACAAATTTGCTCTTAATTTTTAATCATGGCCGAAAATCGTAATCCTTATAAGCTTCAATTTCCACCTTCAATTACCGTTAGCGAATTAATCAAAATTCATTTAGAAAAGGGCCTTAGAAACGTTAATAAAACGTTAAATGCCTTTCTTATTTATAGAATAGTTTATATTCGTGAAGTTCCAAAAAATTATCTTGATAATATTTCCATATTAGCTAGTAACTCGTGGAAAGATGAACCAAAACATGTCAAGATATTTTACAAAAAACTAGCGAAAGATGTCAAGACTAAGTTCAGAGAGTTATACCCGATTCATTTTAAAGATCAAAATTTACCGATTATTCCCCAGAATCCCTTCCCTACAAATGCGAACGAGTCTGATGATGCAAATAATGCTATTACAAAATCACCTCACCCTTATGATACATTTGCAGAATCTCTCCAAAAAAGTATGGAAATGACTGACGATACCTTTGTGAACTCTCTCCCCCATGACCTGGCGTTAACCTATGTGGCTTTAATGAATTCTATTCCCAGTGATTTGTTCTCTTGAGGGCTTTACTCTGAGAAACGAATTAAATCGCGTTCCACAATTTATGCTTCGGAATAATGAGCTCACCAATTCTACATTTTTAAATACGAATATTCTTAGAAAATTAACAATATAAAATAGTACTGTACATACATAAACCTTTCATACATAAAAATTAACATAAGAAAAAGAGTTAAGAGACAAATGGCGTGCAGGCATACGGACACGATTATAAGAGTTGATCAATCAATTTTTCGATTATTTCTTAAATATCTTCAATAAGCCGCAGTGAGTGCAAATTAAATCGGGTAGTATTAGTACACATGAATATGATGTGTTCACTAAATAATTAAAGTGCTATTGTTTAAAGATTTCACTTTAATGTAGCTGTAAGTGAATGGAACTTTGATATTGGCTATAAATTACGAGAAACAGTAGTTTATACAGAATGTCCATTACTCCGACTTCATAAAAAACATCCGAATATTAAACGGTTGCTTTTTTGGTATTCTTAACATTCCGTGCCTACTTACTGTATCAAGAAAATATTTTTAGGTGAAAAAATTACTCATCAGAAATTTTTAATAATATGTGATGTTTTATTTAAATAAACATTATTTATTATTATATACAATGTGGATCAAAAATAATTTGTCAAAAAATAAATCAAAGTCTTAACTATTTCATACCAAAACTCCTTTGGAAGATATGTAAAATAGATCATTAAGTAACATTTTCTTTTTTTAATATTTATAATTAAGTCTTTAACTTATTCTTATACAAAATAGTTTTATTTAAACAAAAAATACAATAAAAAATAATATTGTATGTTTAAAACAAAGAAATATAAAATGCATCCAAAATTTAGTAATAAACAAGTACAATATTTCATATTTTATGGTTTATAACATATCCAGAAGCTAACAAAAAATAGAAATAGTAAAATATACAATTAATAACAGAATTCAAAAATTATAAAAAAAATATTATATATAACAAATTAATATATTTGATAATATTTAATAATTTTAATAATAACTTTAATAATAAAATCATTAAACAAATATTTAAATATATTACAAAATAATTAAAAAATAATTAATTTTTATAAATACATATATACTATATATATAATTTGCAGATTGATAATATAGTAATTAGTGATTTTAAATCTTTATTACAAAATATCAAGTTTAATTCAAGTTAAATAATAAAATAATATTTATTATTTTTTATTTTTTTTTTTTCCGGTAGGTAAACATCATTTCTTTATTTAATTTGTATATTTAAAAGTATACATCATGAAAGAAACA